GTTATCGGTTTGAACTAATGAATGAAAAATAACAAGGCCAATAAACATCTTTCCGAATTTTAGTGGTTTGATAACCGGTGAAACTTGTTGAAGCACACAACAAAATGATGTAGGAACTCTATTAATAAATGCAATATAAGAGCAGAGGAAGTTAACGCTTATTATAGTCATAAATTACTTAGTTCCTAATTCAACTAATTGATCACTGCCTGTTAAGCTGGTCTTGTTGTTTGGCCACTGATGTTATCTTGCTGAATAATTGTTTAACTTTATCGATCTGTACCTAAAATTCGTTGGTCGATGTTGTTGCTGCTGTGAACTCTCTGTCTACCCGAAAAAATGCGTGAATAAACCATTCTTCCTTTAATACTGAATGCGATCTCTTATATAAAATTTTTCCCATCTTAATCCAACCACCTCATATCATTGCTATGACGATTGACTCTATTTCCATTTGACGGAGATGCTTGATGATTGTTCTATTTGCTGAGTTAACTTCGACTACATAAATAAATATAAATAATGGATAATGGAAATTGTATACGACAATTTATCTGTATACTATGTACAAGAACATGATTTTCTCTTTCTCGATTACCCTCTTTGTAATTTTTATTGTACATTCTATAATTATTTATTGAATGATCTCAGCAACCCAAATATTGTGCTAGCCTGCTAATTAAAATTGACTTTTGATATTAAAATGTATGGGATTTAAAATCCTGTTGCGCTGATCGTTTATGTTCCACCTGTTTGTTAATTAATCTTACTATCGATATTATTGCGATCCGATATAGTATTTTTTTCCATTCACATCACGTTGAAGGATTTGTTGATAGAATAACAGGATTTCTTGTTTCATTGATCGACATTGTTTGTTTGAAAGGAAACATTTCTCTAGATTTTGGAAGTTTTCACGCTTTTGGCGGCTGCAAATAAGGCTGTTCACCAAGCTGCGCATAATAGACTTTCAACGCGAACGCTTCATGCTGAATTGGTATATTCATTGTCGCCTGACCGGAACGTAAGTTGTTTTGTTGTGATTCTTTTGAAGGATAAATTGATTTCAACCATCTTTATTATGTTTATTCTGATAAAAATGCGAAGTATTGTTGCTGTTGCAAGGATTAAATCAGTAGGAAGATGAGCAAAAATTGTGGGTAGAGCCTGTAAAACATTTTTGATTGGATTTTAGACAGACTTTGAATTTTACATTGTTTTTAAAGCAGCTTATCTGTTTCCATTAAACTGGTTATATTTGTAGATATTGGAATCATTACTAACATTTGGTATTGCGGAAGAAAGTCGTAACCTTTTAGTCGGTATATTTGACGACGAAAATGGTGAGAAAATGATTAAAGTAGCAAAGAAAATTGATGGTAAGCCAGTTCCGATAACCGTACTACCTCAAATGGCCGACTACGAGAGTATTAAAAAGGTTTAATGAAGATTTGAAAATTTTATATTAAAATTGTGTTTCGGCAATACTTTGATACTCTAAGGTGTTTTTTGGGAAGTTTCTATAATTCAGGTAACAGCAGAGGTCGACTTTGTTTTTGTATTTCTATTAATATATCTTCAAGTTGAAGAAAAGAGTTTAAAAAGATAGAAATTGAAATGGTTTCTTAAGTTATTGTAAATTTCCTCATCCTGCCGTGAAATGTTACTGCCAGAATAAGACAAATGATACTTATTTTTAAATATTGCTCTACTGTTATTATTCTACTCTACTGTTATACGCAAACGGAAAATGTCAAAAAACTTAGAAAATCGGCTTCTTTGTAATTTAATGTTTTTAAAAGGACAAGAGATGAAAATTTTCAGATATACAGAGTGAAAGAATCCGAATACAACGAAGAGACAATAAGTGACGCAATAATAACTCGAATTGCTACCAAAGATTGCATTTAAAATGCGCTGTTTTCTGCTCATTTTGTCCTTCTTCAGTCCATTTCAGAAATATAGTTGGCACATCGCTGTGAATCGAGTTGTCTTTTTTTCGAATATTTAATGATTTTGATAAAAGCACAATTTTCTTTCACTTCAAATGTTAGCGCTTTTATTAGCAGTGTTAGTTTTGTCTAGTGATTTGTTTTCTGCATTTCATTTATGATATTGGTTGGGGAAAGCAAGACTAAATTTAAGAAATCGAGAATTTTGAAAAATTTTCATTAGTGCAGGTTCATAAATAGTTTAATCGATGAACTGTTCTGCATTTGTCGTAGCATTTCATACAATAACATGAAAATTGATGTAGTTTAAATAAATTATTTGGAATTTATTTTCTATCTGGTCTTTTTACTAAAAGAGCTTCTGCAGTTAAGAATTTATGAATGCAGGCGCAAGCTAAATTTTTCCGATGCTTAAAAGTAGTTATCAGAGTATTTTGAAAAGTAGTTTATTATTTCAGCTGAGTAGATACCATGATATTAACGCTCTCATTAATGTGATTTTTTTAGATTTCCTATCAATCTTATCTTATTTCTGTTGATTCATTTGACAAATTTTCGCTTCAATGATGAAAAAGATTTGGAGTGAGTTGATGTTAATGCGGCAGTTTATAAAATATTATTTATAAATATATCTCACTGTTCAGTTTGATTATTTTAACTGAACTGATCTGATGATGAAATAACGAAATTTGTGCGTTGTTTAGAATGCATAATATTATCGATGATTTTTCATTGGCTGCTGATCACCTTTTCATCAACTTAATTGCACCTGTTACTCGACCAAGTCACTCTTGTATGAAAGTGTTTCGTAATCTCGTTTCCACGATATTCAAGATTATCTGTGATTTTTTTCACTTTTCCTTCCTTTTATTATTGATTTGTAAATTACACTCTCTCGCACGCATTATCCTCTCTGCAGTTGCAAATACTATACTCGAAACAATTCAGATATATCATAATTTTGTATATTTCTACACATTTTGTTGTGCATTAGTTTTACGTAAAATATTATGCGGCAATATTGGCAAAGTCATATGATTGAGACCACTTCGAATTTAATGTTTGTGGTTTTATAGAGTCACTGAGCAGTGTTTAATTTACTGTTTCAGTATCTGTGCTATACCATGTTGTTGTTTGTGGGTCTTTGTAATAAATATTTCTCTTACCGCTTTCTTCGTTTAACTTTTTGTCCCTCTCGTACTCTTTTTCCGGATTATAATGTTACTTCGTTTTAAGACTGGGCGCTATCGAATGCAGTATTTTTTCCATCTAAGATACGGTAATCTATTCGAATTGGAAATTTTTCTAACCAGGAATACCTGAATTACTGGAATATCCATGCATCAAATCAGGATAAAGAACCTGTTGGGAAGAATTTTATTCCGCTCAAATGTCTTCCATTTGTAACATTTAATGCAGGAGGTTTTCATTGATATGTTTGCCATGCTCGATCGTGGTCAGTAGTGGATATTCGAAATACTTTGCTGCCATGTTTTTTGAACTTTGGAATACCACAAATGGACTGGATTAAAAGTATTTCTGTTATTGTTTATTATTTAAAATGAAGCTCGCAGAAATCTTCATGAAACGAAATTTAAAGACTACATCGCCGGGTCGGTGACTTTCAAGTTTTTGATGTTGAAAAAGAGCAAGCAGATAACAGACTACAAAATTTACGTGATTTGCGCAACAAAGTCGGCAGTCACATTGAGAGAAAAGTTATAAGTTGAAAAGGTAATTAATTTCAGTATACACTTGAAGACATTTCGACGCTATGTTTTGACTTGGGTTCCTCTAGTCTGTACAAAACTTCAGATATATTATCGTCGTAATTTCATGGAGCAGCGATTAGACGAAGTCACTAATTTACTTCATCATTAGTATTTCTTGATTTATTTTTATAAATTTTGTAGAAAAAGTCGCTGGCAGTTCATAAAGCAATGATTGGAAATATCGGTTTGATTTAGCTTTCGAACCAGAAATTATCCCCTTTTAAATAATTATGAAATTTCATTTGAAGCTTACATTTAAATTCGTAACACATTGACTGTCCAGTTCCACCATAATTTTGCATTTAGATTGTTCAGAAAACATGGACCCGAATGGTTTTTGCAATCACAAGGAATTCCGCACAAATGGAATTGCTTATTATCCAGGAAACAAAATTAAAGTTTTATTTTCTAAAAAAGTTCCAATGCATGAAAAAATGAACTGTCGGAGGGGACATTCTCTGAGGAGATGACGGAAATTGTAAATTGATTTTACTTGGAGATTTATTGAACTTTCGAAATATCAGTTAGAGATTTTATTGCAGCTATGTCAGGATACAAAATCCAAGAGAACATCTTTCAACCCAGACGAATATGAAACAAAAGCAACCCCAACAGTAACTCCCGTGCTCTGATTTTATTGCTTTCACAGGTTCCGATATTTTGAAATCAAAACCCCTCGGAACTCTTTTCGTCATTGCTTTTCGTTGAAATAAGACCACCATGCACAAACTCTTTCCTCTCAGTAGCTACATGTTTCTAGCGGTAAAAAAAAAGCTCGAACCATCTGCTTACTTTACATTTTTCAGTTTTAGTCTTTCAAAATTTGGAAGGTTGTGAACTCTGTTGTGTGAAGAAAAATGTGAATTTTTTATCAGCACATAAATGAACGATAAATGAGCAGTAAAATTTCGTGAACTGATCAATCGAATAATCTATACAGTTCACGTATGATTAATACTAAAAAAATGACAAACTGTCACGTCAAAAATTTGAATGTGTTGCAGACTATGAGAAAACAGTGAAACTTATTGCTATTTAAAATTATCAGTAAAAATTGATTTGCAAATATAGTTGGAAATAACACTTCGATTTTGAGAATAACATCCAAAGACTCAATATATACAGCTTCTAATTTCAAAGCAAGTCAAATAATATTTTACAACAGAGAGAAAGTAGAAGTGATCGTTGGAAAGTTGAAAGGTATTAACAAATATTAACAAACACAAAAATATAAAACTGTAAACTGCAAATGTGATAACATTAAAACTCGCTAACATCAAAAACTTGTCCCAATATTTTCATCAGAAGTCGGTTCTTCAGAAAAAAGGAAATAACCAGTCGCTTCGCCGACTACAATTCCAAGTACTATCCAAACATTAAAAGTCATTGCGATAAGCATTAAGGTATAAGCCAAAAGTACCTGCGTAAAGTATAATGATGATTGAACTATTCGATAAAACGTGAACATCCGTTTCAGTACTCGAAGTCTGCAAATTCTTCGCACATATGAAAAAATTGCAACAGAACCAAAAAAACACACTTCAAAAATTGTTAACAGATTCTTTCTAAATGGAAGCCTTCCTTTGTTAAGCAAGGTTTAGAAAATATCGAAAAAAGTTACTTATTACCTTTATATTTGATATTTACACCAAATTGACTAAAATCGATTTAAGCTTTTGTTCCTTCAGAAATTTTACACTTCTTGGAAAAAAATAAGAATGTTAAATAAATTTCAACTTCATAGTGATAGTCTTTGCTAAAAAGCTCGAGGACGCTACCAGTTAACTTCTTAATTTCAATGCCCGAAAACAGCAATGCTGTGATGATACGAAAACTCACGAGCTATATCTTCGCTCATTAAAATGTTTGAAATACAAATGAAAATTGCGAATCACATCATCCTTCGATTTTTCGCCATAACTACTTCAAATCTGAACCATATTAAAAAAAGAAACAGTTTTTCTTACCGATCTTAGAACATTTTTAGAAGTTTCCGATTTCTTACTACAACTAGCAATTGCAAACCTACCCACTAAAGCCGAATATAGGTGAATATGAGATCATTTCGGTGCTCACGCTATCAACATGTTCCGATGATTCCCGAACGACAATGTTTGACTGAATGCGTTGATTTCGTCGTTCAACAGCACGATTTCGAGCGAAGTATAATCGAAGAGCTGTAAGTAAAAACATTAAATACACTACATAAGTACAATTTAAAGTGTAATTTAATTTTTTACAAATATGTGGATGGAAATGATATAAAATCACTGCGCAATTCAATTAAAAATTAAAAATTAGCATTATTCATATATATAATTTTTTTGAAAGGAAAAATGCGAAGTACCTTTAACTCCTTCATATAAAACGCTTAACAAGAAAACAATAAGGACAGATGCGGACAGACCTGAAATTAGAAAACATGGAAAATCAAGATTAATAGAAATGAAGCATCAAGTTATGTCTGTGAAAGTCATAATAACCACTAATGAACTTATCACTGAAGACCTATTAATGTGTTTTTTTATCCTATTGGCCATATCTATATTCGCTTCACACATCTTTATCAAGTCCTGCATTCGCTGACGAAAGATTTCAACCACTGGCATTTTCATAATTGATGGCGAATTTGCTCAGAAGTAATGCATTCGCTTAACTGCTGCTAATTTTTTCTCAACAGTAAGAATTGCATTCTAATATTACACAATGAGGACGATAAAACTAAAAATTTCGCCCTTCACAGTAAGTGACATGTCATTGTTGAAATCTTGATATTTAATAAAGGTGAAGACATCTCATCACTTCACTATATCCAAACAGTAAAACTACTGCTTGCTTCAATAGCTATGATGACCTATTCGATTTTAACGAGCTCTTTATTCACACACTCTTATCAGCGTTTGCTATAAGTGCAGCTAATCTCGCATGAATGATAATAATAAAGCATTGTATTCCCTTCATGTAATTTATAACAATTTCGTATTTTATTGACATATAAATAAAACCAAGTCTTGCTTGTTGTTCATTATATTCCTTAGTTACTCAATCTTTATTGGTCTCCATTTACAAATACATATAATAATATACGTCCATAGCATATTCTTTAAACAACCAATCCATATTCTAAGGATGTGGAATAATCATATAATTTCGGATGAGAGACATCGAAATAACAATGCGTAAACGAATGGTTTATAGCACTATTAATAAATAACTAACGAACCAATGACTGTTCCAGTCTTCCAGAAATTGACCAAGATGAATTCATGCTTACTGAAGTGAAGAATCATCGGATTCATCAACCATGACGAATAGTTGTTCTTCCCATCGCTAGCTTCTCCGCCGGATATCGAACTTATCACTCTAATCGCATCACTGATGAAGAACATTCTAAAATACACGCCATCTGCAACATAATGTAATCGCGCAGATGATAATCCATCCAAACACAATGGCACACAACGACAAAAATCATAATATTAAAATATAAAATTTGAACTACGTACAAGGTCATTATGTACGAAGTTTAATAATCTGAAGGCGGTAATTCAAAATTTGGAATTTCACAATCAGTTTCAAGCAGTCAAATTGTAAGCACTGGAAATTTGATCCGATTGTGTAATAGGGCAAATGTCGTACAGATGACTTGCAGGAACTATGACATCAGCGGGCTTAAGATGAGAATGTGGAACAAGAAGCTTACAAAGCGTATCATCGTCTTTTTGGAATTCGGTTGATGTGTGAATTGTTTTGAGGTATGGCACGAAGTTGTCGTGAATTGAGAAAGCCAAAAAAATCGTTCGAAAGATTCCTCCTGTGCACTGATTTATTTCAAACAAGAGATTTCTCAGCAATCACTGCTTCAATTATTATCTGTGGTTCAGTCTCTTGATTTGTATTTCAGTTTATTGACCTGATCAAATTAGATTTTGAATGGATGCTTTCAAGCGTGTTAATGACATCTGTTCTTTTGTATTACAACGCTTAAATCTACTAATAAATCAAGAAAGTATCATTATTTTCCCATTTTCAACCGAATTTGATAATGGATAAATAGGTGCGCCAAAACGAAAATCACGGCAACAGTCTGCCATGGTATTGTATTACACTTCAGTTCTGGTAACACCGCGCAATCATGCGTTTCAGTACTTAAATTTCTAGCTCACACGTGGATTACGTATGGAATACACTCATATTCTATCGTAAATTCATATACATACATATACAGAGAGAGATGTCTTTCGTAGGAAGATGTTAAAATTTTTGGTCGTTCAACAACTGAATGTTTGACGTTTTCTTACTGTGAGACATTTGCAAAACTGCCACTCATATTTGAATGGTGTCATTATGAGTGAGAGGAGAGATCTCCGCCTTCCTCATATCCATAATAAGTTGTCACATTCAATTTGGTTCGTTTGGCTCAGTTTAGAACATTCATTCCCAACATCACTTCATCTAAGGAAGCGGAGGATTACGGTAATCAAAGAATTCAGCTTGCAAATATTTCCTAAGTAAGTTTTTTAGCATAAAATCATTGGAGGCATTCTATAAAAGCGTATGATGAAAAATATTCTGTTATATACAGCAAAAATCACTCTAGAATCTGAAAATGTCTTCCATTCAATCGGTAAATCAAACAACTCGACTGAATATCAATTTACGCGAACGCTGTCGTATGCATGACCTTAATGAAGCATTTGACGATTTGAGAGTTATATTACCTTATGCCAATGGTACATCGGTGCGTAAACTATCTAAGATTGCCACTCTCCTACTGGCGAAAAATCACATTCTAATGCAGGTATCTTATTTTTAAAGCAATTTTTATTCATTAGGAACAGTTGAAATTGAAAATAGCTTAGATACTCCACATTTAACTTTCAAATGAACGTATACAATAAACACAATTCTTAACTTCATACTGTATGAAAATTTCATAAATTCATGCAATCAATAGTCTATTAGCCAAAAGATTGAAGCATACATTACAGAATCCTTCTTTCATTATGACTATATTTGAGAATGTGATTGATGTTCGTTTTTGAACTTCCTCCTTGACCTTCAATTTTCCTGAGTATATAATTATAGGTGTAGATAATTATTAATTGTTCCTTTTTTTTTCAAATGCTCAATACTTAGAGCCGAAGAATGATGCTTTCTTTTTCGAAGAAATACACTATTCATAGTTGAGTTTTGCAGGCTAGTGCAATCGAAGAAATGCGTCGCATAATTCATCATCTTCAACAGCAGCTTCTTAACATTTCATTCACCCCTTGTGATACACAGCTGTGAATTTTTTTCTCTTTTTTCTAAAAGAATATTAGTGTACAATGCTATTTTAATTATTGTAAACACCTCCCGTGTTCCATGAAAAAATCAATCTTTATGCTATTAGAGTTGGAAACGAGCCAGAGAAAACGTAATTAGTGGAAATTTCAAAGCTTTTTTTTTGAAAAAATCCAGTTGAAATCTAGTGATGGTTCAGTTGTCATACCTCCTTCAAAAAGTTTGAAAGTTTTATTGTTTGATTTTTGATCAATCCAGAAAGCAATGGTGAAAGCATGATTTGATTTCTTAGGTGTCACACGTTACCCGAATATTTGACGATTGTCAGGCTTCTTATATCTTACTACTATAAGTTGTAGTATTAATTAATTCTATTTATCCAGGTTGTAGACTTCTAGTCACTAAGAGGGCACATAAAGAATAATTGACAAGCGAACGCAGGAATTATAGAATTAGTAGTACAGAACAAATAAGTGGAATAGATTGGTTTCAAAATATATGAAATCGATGCTTTTGAAATTTTCAGTTCAGGTAAATGAACCAAACAAAGAACATTCGTTTTTATTTTTCTGTTAAATTACGGAAAATGGATTTTGATATTTGAAGAATTGATGGATCTTATGAACTATTCTGTCCTAGGCAGCGCTCCAATTTGACTTCTTATTGGTTCGCATTACATCCAAACAATTTGTTTATTCTTTTCTTCCAAATGATTTGATCAGCTTTGTCCGTCCTTCCATCATCTTTTTTATGTACTTTTTTTTGCATTTACTGAATTTCATGGATTTACGAATGTCCAAAATTTCTTATCATTATTGTAATATTTTCAATTAGTTTTGTATTGTCTGAAATGAATAAATCTCTCGATCTAAAATGTAGACGCACTAGGAAAAGGAAATGGTTGCCATCTTAGTCAAAAGTGATTGCTACTATTAGTCAAAAGTCAGAAAACAGAATTGCTTTGGTTCTTCAATATTAACTTGCTAACATGAATAACATTTAAAGTAACTATGAGATAAATACTATTAGTGGCAATCACATCGCAATCAATTGATACCAGTGTTATCTGACAAAATAGTCTGAATAACGATTGTTATTATTGATTGGTGATATATCTTGGTAGCAGTGCTGAGACATAGTAAGAAATGAAAGTTCATCGTTTAGAATATTTTATATCATGTATTTGATTCAAACTAATAAAATTATTCATTGTATTCGATTAGGCTTATGTGAATCACTATATTTTAAATTTTGAACGCTGAATAGGATGATTAGTCTGCTCTTTGTATTAGGCTTAATTTTTAATTTGAGATGAGGTTAACAGTAGAAAATGCTATACTGTTCTAGCAGCTAGCAATATGGCATTAGCAGTAATGGAAATGATAGAAATCAACTATGATCAGGAATTTTATTAAGGCAAAGGAAAGAAAAGAAATTTTGGAAAGGAGCTCCATTGAATTTGAGATAGGTAGGCTTCGATTATATAGTCATCGTTTTGAACAACCTTTAATATACTCACAATTCTCATTTATTATAATGAACTGGAATGAAACAGGGTGTGGTAGTAGCTCAGGGATGTGTGGATTTCGTCGAGATTCCCCTGAGATATCGCAGTTTGTAGATAATTAAGCAAAATGTTAAGAACAATGATTTACGATAATGGCATTTGATGATGGTAACATGAGAACAGAAACTAACCATGAGGAATGAAATAATAAAACGAAATGTGTCATTTCGAGATCACATTAAAAGTTATGAGTAAGAAACTAATAAAGCAATGCTAGTCGCCGCTTTTATTAACAACTGTTTGTATGGCTTCAATCAAATGAATTCACTACACATTGCAATCATATCTGTCTGATCGGTCAAATTATTTCATCACATTTCAAATATCTGTTCTTGAACAATTCTTCTCGATCCTGATTTTATTTTGTTATTCATCGAATTGCAGGTGATTTACACTTCGGATATACTATTTAAATTCAATTTCCATAATTTTTGAGTATAGCTTGGACAATTCACTTCTTGTCAAATGAAGCATGTAAAATAGTGCTGAAGGTGGGGTGCGCACCGATGAATATTAATTGAATAGCATCGATTTATTGATATTACTCGTTTTACATATCGCATAAATTATGTTCAGCAAGCAGAGATTCAGCCTGCTTAGGTTTGCATTTTATTTTGATCAATAAAATAAACTTTTGGCAAGTGAAATATAAGAAATGCCATCCAGCTTCACTTTATCTAACAATTGAAATCAATAAAAATATCGAAAAAAAAACAGCACGACTTCGAATTGTCTATGCACTTCACAGTTGTCAACATGCTTAATCGTAATCCAACTCTTTCAGAGCTTAGCCTAAACTTTTAATATTAACAAAAAACATCGGTGAATAATTATCTTTATTTCCTCCTCATTGAACTATTGCACAACGAAATGAATGTGCTTATACTTGGTATAGAGAGTGGAGTGAATGTTATAAAAAAACATTTGTAATTGATCTTAACCAAAATTTTATTTTAGCTCCATCGCAGCTTTACATAATGGTCTTTCTTTTTAGACGACAATCTCGCAGATGGCACAATGCTGCTGGGTCAAAATTTCGATCATCAGAAATCACAATACGTTCAACAAATTTGGATGAAAAAATGCAGGAAGTTGTTAAAGAGGTCAGTTAAAGTTAAACGATGAAAGTTATTTGAACCAGTTAATTGAATTCTAACGATGCTTATATGTAGCACTCCTAATAAATTTGACTGACAATAGCAGATTATAATCCTTGCAAGGCCATAAAGAAATATACATAATGGATAAGTTGACAAAGATTAAATTTGTCAACTGAAATCTTCCTGAGTTACTACTCAGGAATATTAGATTAATTTATTAGTAATATTAGTTTAATTTATTAATTTAATTTAGATTGATTAATTTTATTAATTTAGATTAATTAAGATTAATTTAGAGTAATATTAGATTCGATGAAATGAATTAAGTGAATTTTTTTATTTATATCCGAGAATGGGAAAAAAATAAATTCAGATTGCAAAACGAGCATTGAGTCGTTCTTCATCAGAAAATGAAGTTGCTTCAATAATCAAGAAGTATTTCGATGAAATAACCGGGTCATGTTGGCATTGTATAGTTGGAAGAAACTTCGGGTCACATGTGGAATGCACTCTTCATGCGCATCTTATTTATTCTAGAATTGCTATTGTTTTATACAAAACAGATTAAATATCACCTGCTTCATAAGTTTTCTGTCTTTTTTTTAATTTTAAAGCATTTAAAATAAACTTACTTTTCTAGTTGTTAATGAAAAGATTGGACGAATATTCAAAAAGTTTGAATCAGTTCTGTAATTTTAAAACCGTTGATGTTTTTCAATGTCTTATTGTTTGCACATGTGTGCGGATAAGCTATTGGTGGAAGTGTAAATACAATAACTTCCTGGATACTAAAGAAACGTCTGCTTATTGATTGCCGGGAGTTTCTGATTTTATTTTAGAAAAGCCCATTGTTTTAAAATATATGGATAGAATTAAGCATTGCTTAAGTTTGCAAAAAAAAAGAGCTAATCAAACAAATGTTTCTATGCGTCTCACTCATTTTAAGCAGAGCTGTCGAAGAATCAATCGTATCACTAACGAAAACTTTTGAAAGTTGCTGGATAAATTACAACAACTCTCAAAAGTTCTCAAAGTTCTTTGCTGAGCAGCTTCTTCCTTTTGTTTGCTTTCATCTGACGTGATAAATTATTGTTAGTCATTTCATTAATAGTAACATTATCGAAGTATGTGACAATTTTATCTGTCTTCTAACAAATATCTCTTCATAAGCTAAGATTCGGGGGTTTTCTAAGCGAATGAGGAATTTCTAAGAAATATTAAGCTCCCAGTTTCCCAATCTTCAAAATCCTGCGGCAAAGTAGAAAAATTTGTTTTTCTATTTTCTTATTAATAGGTATACCATATGCTAATAACTTCTCATATAACTTACAAATCTGTTTTTATCCCGCCATAATTATTAAATTTTTACTTTTATGGCTAGGTAAATTTATCACAGTTCACATCGTTTTAATCACAACATTGCTGTGAATTTGAGCATATTGACGGTGTATTCGTATTTCTAAATTTTGAGCAGAATTTTACTTCATGGAGTTTACGACAAGATCTTGAAACATAATCATAGGATTGAAGGATTCTTATAGTCACCTGGAGTTCCCCGTTTAAACTTTAACCAATGTGCTGCGCTCTAAGAACACTAAACGAAGTTATTTAAGAAAGCATGTATTAGTTGGAAAAGCAGAATGTATCATTATTGCTTATGGCACTTCGATGTTGCGATATCGAGTGACAGTTATTATCTATTTCTTGATCTTCAGTTGGTCACCTGAAGTCTGTTAATTTTCACTTCTGATTAGCCAGTAATAAAAAGATCAATACATGAAAGCTATTTGAAATGCATGCATACCTACGCCTTTTCACAAATAATTTTAATTTGGCTGCAGACATTGTGGTCATTGAATAAGCAGACCATTCATCTGATGTTTATTGTTGCTTGATATTTCATAATTCAACAAAGTAACTTATCAAACTATTCGTTTGTTTATTAAGTAATTCGAATAATTGTTTGATCAAACTTATCGAACAATTGTTCGAAACAATTCGATTCGTTTGCCTCTCAAAAAAAATTAAATTCGACAAGAAGGGGTAGCAACTAGAATCGAATGAAAAATTTTAGCAAAACGAGATTGTATTTATGAGAGGCAACGAACCCCACCCATCATATATAGAACAGAAAATATGATTGAATTAATTGATTCCAATCAATTAATATAGTACTAGAAATAAACATAATATGTCAATATGCTGATAGGATGTGCAAAATGAAAGCCTGTTAGATTTTTTTGGTATTACTGAATTTGAAATATCATTCTACGCCGATGCAATGTTTTGAAACGGATGGTGAAGCTGATCTGTAAATGATATTTACAGAATTTCGGGAATTCATGCAGATTTTTTATCAATTGATTTGAACGCTGATATTGATCTGCACCATCAACTTCTCCGGAAGCTTTATCATCAAAATATATTTCGAATGGGAGAGTGAACACTGAAAAATGTTGGATAGGAATTGTTCGTTGCCCTAACTTCATCATTAATAAATCTATGAAAACCAAAACTTGCAAATCGCTTTACTATCATTTAAAACTTTGCAGTAAAAGAAAATCATAGCCATCTGAAGTAAGGGTGACCTTTTAAATTACCTATTTCATTGCTATCTACTTGCTTGTAATCAATGATATTTTTGTTTTTCAATAATAATTAATGGCAGTAGTATCTGATAAAAATAAGAATTTACTACGATAGGAAGATTTACTAACCTTCGGGGAAAAGTGGTTTACCGTGCAAAGTTTCCTCACCAAGCGGAACGAAATGGTAACAGTCGCTCTCAAAAATATGGACGTGCAAAAAAAATTGCGATCTAGAGTAGCAAATGAAATGTGAAGTAAGACAGAATATCTGTAAGATAGTGGAAATGGATTATTGGCATTACCGACTACCGAATATTTAGGACTGATTCCCAGTGTAGAACCTGTTCCATTTAGAGTCCCAACAAAAAAATTTCTGACGGAAGGTATATACAGATATATGTAGTATTTGCATACCAATAAGGCACTAGAATGCCAGTTTTTGATGTGATTCTTTTACTTAACTTTTTCAAAATATTATAATTAAAGAACAGCTTCAGTTACTTAGTTTAACTTATTTATATTTATATTAACTTCTCGTGAATTATAGCTAAATTGCAAACAGATGAATAATGAAAGTAGTAACGAATTTATGCACAAAAGATGCCAAATTTCGATCCATAAGCAGTACGAGCGTCCAAAAATTGGTTAATCAGATATATTCTTCTATGCTACATTGCAGATACTTTGCAAAAGTTAAGTCGAAGAAGCCACGTCAAAAATTGGTTCAGTCAAAACAGTAGCATGTGAAATGATATGATAAGTGTGAGATGATATAATAAGCTAATGTTTAGGAAATTATTTCATTATTATCTATTATTATAATTTGAAATTTAATTATATAATAAGTGCATATGAAAAGGAAATTTATCAATTCTCCGCTTGTTTATATTTTATTAAAGATAACAAAAAAGGTGGGAGGAAAGGGATAATCGTTAAAGTTCAAAAAATTTGAAAGAAATAAAAAATTGAAATAAAGATGAAAATTTGTAAATAAAAAAGACAATAAGAACCTTTGAAATCTTTAAAAGCACATATAAATTAGTTCAATATAAAAATAGGAAGTAATTAAGTTCAACTTCTACCAATTTTACATAAACGACAGATAAAATATAACGAAGTAGGAAGAAATTATGGGAATCACAAAATTGTTGCAAGAAAAGACAAATATTTCGGCGATAAAAGAACAATCATATGAGCAGTAAATAAATATTGAAACCGCAGACTAGGGTAGGATTAATTTCAAAGTCCTATTTCAGGTTAAATCTATTCTGCAACATTAATCTTCCAATCGTTCATTCAAATTAATTATTTAAATGTTGATTAGCGAGTGCAAAGAGCAATATCAGACTTTATGATAAATGAATCACAGCTTATCAACAATAAAATCCATATCATTAAGCAGTGTTTTTTGTTTTTAAATCATTCAATCATCAATGGCACATAATTTCTGAATTTTATTTCGAGATTTGAAGAAAAGAGTTTTTCATTGATTTCCAAATTATATGCTTTGTGACAAAAAGAGTTAGTCCTCCAGCACAGACATAAGAACCTTTTGCTTTGTTTCTTTATTTATTCAAAATTTAGAAAAGAAAATAAAAGCACTCGACACGAACACATTGTATTGCTTGTTACAGTACTATAATCCCAGTGAAATTACTATTTCAAAGTAATAAAAAGCATATCGAAGAGGGATAGATCATTCGTATCTAATTGATTTTATTTCAAAAACACTGCTTCGTAAGAATTTATTTATTTAACAAAATTTGACGTGTGAAATTTGATAACAAGCAACTAATAGCATTGCAGCATGATTGCTGTCACATTAAGTAGTGTTTGGAAACTAACACTAACAAGTGAAGTAAGAAAGCACCTCAACTATGTATTATACAATAACGAATAGGGATATCACATTTCAGTGATAGGAATGATAACAAAATGTTACGCGTCAGAATAAAATTGTTACATGGCTTTCTGAATTTCAAAAAATTAAAATGCTTCCATGCCTTCACAGATCATCTTTGCACCAGAGAGCTGCTCCGTTTTCTCTTACTTTCTCTGATTTCATCCCAATGTTATAGTATTCAACCAGATTTGAATATACAACGATTTCTTGAAATTCCAGAAAACTCTGTTCGAAATTATACTTTAAATTCTATATCAATACCATGTTTCCATGCAATTTCATTAAGGATCTCATTCACTGATCGTTTCTTAGTTTCGGGACAGTAAAGTATTGTAAGAATAAGAAATACAATAGATGGAAGAATGAAAATTAAGAGTGAAGATCCACCAGCTGTTGTTGCAAGTGGATAGAATCCGAAATCTAAGCCTACTTTAGTAAATGATTCGATCAGTGATAGAATGGTGACCGTTCGAAGTATCATACTTTTTGGTACCAGCTCAGCTGAATAAAATCTTGATATAGAACCTATACCGAGTGATGTTGCAAACAATATGATCGATACACCTGTTAGTGTCCCAAGCTGAAAATATACTTACATAATGAAGTGTCTTAAGAGAAGCTCTTCTGGTTAAATGCAAATAAAATTTTGAAATTAATGAATAAATATATTTTGAGCGCAACATACTTCTGAAGGCTTTAATAAAATCTTACAAGAAATATTTGCATGTATTGAAAATAAAACCTTGGCTGCCTCACCAACTGTAATAGAAACCATTGTCATGGAGAGAGCTAATATGCTCACGAATTCGGACATGATTAACATTGGTCGTCGTCCAACACGCTCAATGATAAATATTGGTATCACTGATAGAGGCAATCTGATAATTGTATTGAGCAGTGAACCCCACTAAAGGCATTTTATTTAAACTCAATTATCGAAGAAATGCTTCTAAATTTCTAAATTAAGCTATCGAACCGATATCCTGTAATCTGTATATTATCTCGAGAAAAACATTTTTTGCTATAAGATTTTGAGAAGTTGTCTTCCATAGTTCTTGTATAAAATCTTTCTTCTTT